TCCCTGGGTTGTTAACAACACTTCCTTTCCCCCCACCTCACCCTCTCCCATGTCCCCCCAGAACCATCAGTTGCGTTGTTTTCTCCTCCAGATTGTTCATCCAGCCTGTCTTATTTAGACAGACCTGTGGAGATAGTAACATGCACAAAATCAAGACAGAGCAAAACCAAGCAACAAAACAACAACAAAAAGCCAATGACCAAAAAAGAAAAACACAACAACAAAAAAGAAAAGCCTGTAGTTAGTTCAAGGACTGTTTGTTGGCCTTTAGGAGTGTTTTCTGGTTGAGTCTGATGGGGTGCCGTGCCCTGACCCCAAAATCTATTTTTGGTATTCCCTGGGGACTTTGTTGTTCTGTTCCCCTTGCTGTTCTGTTGTACACCCTTAGGGTTTTGCCTCGATGTGGTGGGATCAGATCGGGCAGAATACTCACACTGTGTCTCCAGTGTTGTCCCCTGTAGGGCTATGGGTCAGTGAGGGATGTCATGTCTCATAGTGGGGCCGGCCATTTGGTCTTCTCTGTGGATTGGCTGCTCTGAGCAGGAATATCATCCTCAAGGCTTGGGGCGCTAGAATGTGCTCCACTCTCTTTCCTCCCCCTTCATTTGCTTCTGTGTGCTCTGATCAGACATGTCCCTCTCCCTGAGCTGAAGCTTCAGTACTGTCCTCTGATGTAAAGTCTTCAGGGGGGAGGGGCAGGTGTCCACGTAGTTGGGATTGGGGCCAGCCCCTCAGACCTTTCCACTGGCTCTCTACCCCGTGCTGGCATGTTGCATTCACATCTTGGAGCACCAGGTTGAAGTCTGGTCCCTCTTTCCCTGTGGAGATATAAGCTGTGATGGGTTTTCTTTGGTACGTTTTTCTGGATATGAACTCCAGGAGAGGTAAATCTGCAGAGACAGGAACTGGATTAATAGTTTCTTGTGGGTATGGCAGGAGAGGTTGGGGGGATGGGGAACTAATAGCAAAAAGTACAAGAAAGAAGAAATTGTTCTAAATTGGATTGTGGTGATAATTGCACAATTCTTCTTAATGTGATTAAACTATTGAACTGTCTGGTGTGTGCATCCTATGCCAACAAGACCGGTAAAGAAGCAGGAGAGAAGATGCGCTCTGAAATTCATTGTATTTTGCTGCGTCTCCTAAGAAACCATGGTATCAATGAGCACTTACCCCCTTGCCACATTTCTTCTAGAGCCACAATTATCCACTAAAAATACCCCGAGTCACACATTTTAAAGTTTTCAAACCTTTTCAGATATCATACAATAAAATTCATCTCCTGACGTGCCATTTCATGGGCTTGGGCAATTGTGCAGAGTCATGGCATCAGGACCACAGTAAGACCAACTGCGGGGTCTGCAGTCACCTCTGCCCCTCACTCCCATTCCTGGAAAGCGTGGGTCTGTCACTGATGCTGGACTTTGCTTCTGCTACCAAGGCAGTCCGTTTACTCAGCCATGCTGTGACGCCGAGGAGACATCCTCTGTGCATTGGGACAAAGGTCATGCCACCTGAAACGAAGCTTTTTACAAGGGGACAGCTCCTATCCCTGTCTCACCTTAGGGACAACAGTGTCGCCTTTTTGAAACAGAAGTCCCCCCTGGGGGCCTGTGGTCATGGTAATATTAGTATCGGGGAAACTCGCCACTGGTGTGGGATTCAAAATACTCTGGTGATATCCTCCTTTTTCGTTTCTTCCTTTACCAAGAGCGATAGAAAATATTTTTGACAGGGGGAAGGTTTAAGAACTAGGAATAGAGAGGGACATTTGATCAAAACCAATTTTTCCAGGTGAGGAGTCAAAAAGGGACTACAATCTTCAAGGTCCTCTAACTGCACACTTCTCTGTTGCCATAAAATGATTCCCGGGCATACAGCATTTGCGGGGCATCTGCTGGTTTGGGGGTATTGCAGTCAAGAACATATCTGTCAGCAAGGGAGCGGAGGGCAGAAAGTGAACCCTCACCACTGTCAAGGGACCCGAGGATTCAAATAGGAATGAAGACTGGTGGGGCGGCCGGGGGGAGTCAAGCAAAGGAATGGAACACACAGAAATTTCCAATAGACCAGATGTTCTCAACCTGTGGGTCGCGACCCCTTTGGGGGTCTAATGACCCTTTCACAGGGGTCGCTCGATTCCTAACAGTAACAAAATGACAGTGATGAAGTCGCAACGAAAATAATTTTCCGGTTGGGGGTCACCACCACATGAACTGTATGAGAGGGTCGCGGTGTTAGGAAGGTTGGGAACCACTGCATAGGGGAAGGGGAGGACTCCTGAGACTGGTGACAAGGGGAGAGTGTCAAGGCAACCCCACTTCAAGGAGCTCCGACGTTATGAAGGACCCTAACACGGATTACAGTCCGGGGGAAGAGTAAATGCAAATATTTACTTATGTATGTGTTTGTTTTTAACCAGAAAAAAATTTTTTTACTAGGAAACACACCCAAAGTTGCTTGGCCCCAAGAGAAACCCCTTCCTATCACAGCTCCCCCTTGGGCGACCTGGGAGACACCCTGGCTGGCTGAAGGAGACCTAGACTCCAGCTCCCAGGAAGCAGGATCCTCAGGCATCCACTTGCCTGGGAAGCCCAGGGGACAGGCATCTGGAAGCCAGCGCTGTAGATCCTCTGTGGCCGCCCTAGTTCCTGTCCCTCTGGGCACTCAGCACCTGCTGCGTGGAATTGCCCAGGGATTCCCTGCCGATGGAGTCTTCTGCCGCTTCTAGGAGCTGCACGGCCCCACAGGGCTTCTGTGGGAGGAGGTTTTAGTCTTAAACCTACCCTGCGGGGTCTCACCCACAGGAGCCTCTGAGTGAGGGGATGGACCCTTGGCCGAAAGCAGGCTGGCGGGGGCCTTTAGATTTTCAGCTTTGGGGGTTGGTGGGCCCTCCAGAGGAGGGGGAATCGTCCTCCAAGCTCTTCAGGAACCGCCCAGCCTTCGCTGCCTGTCCCAGAGGGCCTCTGAGCAGTGAAGGGGGATCCTGGGCTAGTGCCACACTCGCCAGTAGGTGCCAGGCTTGGAGTCCTGCCTTCCGGGCTGAGTGGGTTGCTGGCAGCAGAGGGGGGCAGGTCCTGGGGGGCTGTAGCAAGTGCACAGTGGAGGGAAGTAGACAGGAGGACCAGCTAGGAGAGGTGCTTAGGGACTAGGGTGCGGTGCCCAGAAGAACCCATGGTAGTGGCTGGGGCCCCGCCCCAGAGAATGTGTGAAGAGGGCCCCACGGGTATAGGAGGGCCACACAGAATGCCTCTGGGGGACAGGCTGGGCCACATTCCCTCTCCCCACACACACACATACACAATACACACAGGGAACATAGGACGGTTGGGTCCTCAGAGGGCCAAGGGTAGAAAGGTCTCTCTGTAGATAAGTGGGAACAGGGTCCTGAGTGGTGAAGGTCTGTCACCCTCGTCCTGTGAGCGTGGGTGAAGGTTCCTCCACTGAGACCACGGAACTGGAATATCATCTTCTGACCGAAGGCTGCGCTCAAGAAACTGGAGGCCTAAGCAGGGCTGCTGGCATGGGGGAAGGAGGGGAGGGGCACTTGAGGTAGAGGTTGGGGCAGGGATTTCCGGTGTCCTTGCACCCGAGGCTGTGTTGGAGTCAGGGTGACAGTCACAGGGAAGGCTGCGGAGCCATCAGAGCTTGGTGGGTTGTGAAGAGCTGCTGGCATTTCTGAGACAGAAGGGGGAGACAGAGACCTGGCGTGTGTGAACCATCTGTTAGTTCTCAGCATCTGCAGGTCCAGCTGGGCGGGGTCCCAGGTGTGGAGGCTCTGCTCTCTTTCCTGCAGGTGTCCCTTGCCTGGAACTGCGCTGGCCACCTTGACAAGGGGTGCAACTGTCCTGCTGCCTCTTCTTTCTTGGCCGCCGGCATCTGGACACTCGGGCTGCCGCCACCAAAATTAGACTTGGGGTGGCTTTCTTCTCTGCTCAGGAGCTGAGTCTGACGACATCTTTCTGTACATCACCACCACTGAGTCTCCGCTGTCAATCGGCAGGAGTGCTGGAGACACCCCCGTCTGTCCCTCAAAGGAGCCAGGTGAGGAAGGGGTCCCTGGGCTGGAGGGGTAGGACTCCTCAAATGGCTCAGGGGGGTTGGAAGCTGTGGGAGGGCTGGGAGCCGGGACGCCTGGGACCAGATGTACTCAAGTCTGGGCTGCCTCCTGTGGCCACATGGTGCTTCCAGCCGCCCAGCGCTGTGATCCGGGAGACCTCAGCACATCACTTTATGATATATGTGTTTGTTGGTTCAGAAAGATCTGGAAGGGAGTCTATTGAACAAGAATTCTTAAGTGTCTGTGAAGACCAGAGTGGTTGCCTCACTTATATTTGCTGGGTCACACGCCCTGTCTTCTCATCAGTGTGCATGCGCTTCAGGGACACCTCTGTGGGCTTACAAGGGTTGGCTTATCCACGCGACTCCTCGCTGGGTGACTCTGTGCACACGCCTCTCCTCCTCCTGGGGAGTGGGTCAGCCTAGGCCTGTTCTCATGGTCTGGGCAGGGGGGGTGGGGGGCTAGACTGAAGACGCCAACACTTTCTCAACCGTAAGCATGAGGTTCCTCCTGGACAAATGGAGACAGGGAGGCCCTCAGAGGATCAGTGGCTCACCCACCATGGGCCAAAGGACGGGGCCGCAGCCGGAGCCTAGGTGGTCCCACTGCCACACACCACAGAGGAGCATGATGTCCGGGTGCCTCTTGTACGCAAAAGAGATGTCGGAACCAGAGACTGATCTATGCAAGAAGAACTGAAGGGTGAAAAATAAATGAGAATAAGTGACACCTGGGATTTTTTAGAGGGAATGGAATTCACTTTTAATACAGGAAAGGATAGAAGGTTATATAAACACAGTCAGATGAAGCAATTACCTTCCTCACGTCAACCAGATCTGATAACTCCATTCCAAATATTTAGATTTCTGCATCAGCTGGCTTTCCCAAATCTATTTAGGCAGCATCTGGGACCGTGGACAGAGGTCATTGGTCAGGCACTATGGAGCTGGTGGGGATCTTCACAGTCTTTCAGACCCTCTGCTTGTCTGGCCTGCTTGTCCTCATTGCCTTCACATGGAACAAAAAGAGGGGTCAGCTGCCCCCAGGACCCACCCCACTGCCCTTCCTGGGAAACTTGCTGCAAGTCAGCATCACTGAGACCTATCAGTCTTTCAAGAAGGTGAGTCTGTTTACCCGCCCCGCCCCCCCCCCTTGGGCAGAGAAGAATGTGGTTGTCGCTGCCTGGGTACTGCTGTGTGTTGTCCTAGCGTCTCCATCAAGATTGTCATGATTTAGCCCATGGTTGCAGCCCCTGTGTGATACATTTCCTTGAAGCTCCTCCTCTGTTTTGCCCAGCCTCTAACTCACCGAGCATGATGTGCTTGGTGGGGACTGGCCTGTTCTCCTAACATGCCAAAGAACGTGAGACAAAGGCTCATGATCCGCATTTCTAAAGAGTATGCTGCTTGGGCCTCCCTGCTCCCCGCCCCCCCCCCCCAGACGCCATTGTTCTCCTAGCAGTCGGCCATCACTCAGTATTCTTCATCAAAGACACAATGCAAAATAAACGCTTTCGCCATGCGTAGGAAGCTACTGAAAATACCATGGATTAGGATAGGCATGCCCTATTCCTCAAAGTGACACCCTGGCTCCCCACCACTTCCAAGAGGTCAATTTCCTCTGTGTCATTTGATTCACTGCCTTCTGCTCCGATGGGTGTTGACCATGGAACCAAGTACGATGGAAGCTTTGACAGCTTCCGTCACTTCTCTGTTTAACATGAGGTCCGCTATTGCTTCACTTGGGAGGATTTATACACTGAGTTGTATAGCCCACCCCGAAGGTTGTAGTCTTTGCATCAGTAAGTGCTTCGAGTCCTCTGCCCTTTCAGTAAGCAAGGTTGTGTCACGTGTGTATTGTAGGTTGTTCAGGAGCTTTCCCCCATCTGGAGAGCTCAAATGTCTTCATCTAGTCTAGTTGTTTAGATTATATGCTCGGCACATAGATAAAATAAGTATGGGGAAAGGGTACAATTCTGTCATGGGCCATTCCCGATTTTAAGCCATGTAACATCCGCTTCTGAAAGTGATAATGCTGTAATCTGAAAATATTAGTAGCACCAATTTCTGATATATTGGAACTATGCCCACGAATGATGTCAATTTGGGAATCATAGTCCCGTAAATTCTTAATCACAAAGACACTGACATTGAAACTGCTTACAACTCAGAGCCTCAAGATCATGAAGTCTTGGGATTTCTGAAATGTAGCATTTCAGAGAGAGAATGGATCTTGGAGTTCATCGAATCCAGCTCCACTGTCTTACAGATTAGAGAATGAAGAGTGGAGGTGATGACACCAGGCTTCTATGGCTCACAGGACACCCAGCTTCTATGAGACACCAGGCTTCTATGGCTCACAGGACACCCAGCTTCTATGAGACACCAGGCTTCTATGGCTCACAGGACACCCAGCTTCTATGATTTTTTCCTCAATCGTTGTTTCAAATCCAGTGCCTACTCTTGATTCTTTTTATCTTCACTGGTCTCCCCTGAAATCACCACTCCTACCATCCTGGATTGGCCTAATCTCTGACCAGCATCTTGCTCTTCTTCTCACCTCCACTCTCAGCTCAAGGAGAAATATGGACCGGTGTTCACCGTGTACATGGGGCTCAGGCCAGTGGTTGTTTTATGTGACGCTGACGCAGTGAAGGAGGCCTTTGTAGGCCAAGCAGATAATTTCAGTGGCCGTGAAGAAATGCCTTCCTTTAAAAAGAGCATCAAAGGTCATGGTATGTAACAACAAAATAATAACAACAGGTATATAACGTCCCTTCCGATGTCCCAGGTTCTTTGAGAAGCACTCCCCCTCTGTGATGACACTGGCTCTCTGGAAGAACTATTGATGTGTATTACATTTTCAAATAAAGAATCTGTGTAAAGCTGGCTTAGCTAGAGAAAAAAACCAACAGTGACATCCACGATATGTGTAATAAGTCACTTAATATCCACAAAGCATCCCAACCCAGTCTAACTCAAGTCCACGGGTCTGATGCTAGCCAGAAATCTCTGAGGTGCGCTTACCTGAAAGCCAATGACACCGAAAGGTGAAGCATGGTTGGGAGAGATCAAGGTCAGTAGGAACATGTCAAAGCACAGGCAGCTCAGAGGTTGGCTCCCAGGGTCAGCAGCCCATTGGTGCCATCCTTGGAGGCAGATACAGAGTCCTAGCAAGGAGCAAGGTGAGAAGCAAATAAGAAGGGAGAAGTTCTCACTGCTTCTCTTGTGAAAAGGCCACCCCCCAAGGAAGCATCATCAGGCTGTGACCTAATTGACAGCCTAGATTCCACACCTATACAAGTGCAAGTTGACATAAAATCAAATGCGGCAGACAACCGGTTGACAACTTGACGCTTTTTATACAACTCTTTACCTGTAGATAATCACCAGAGACAATAATAAAATTTTATTTTCACTTAACATGATACAGCTAAAATGTGCGCAATTAAAAATACACCAGCTCCATTTAAACCTTCTACTCTATAAGTGAGCAAACCAAAAATATTCTATGCCTAACAATGACAGTCTTACGAACCCTACACCTGAACCCTATAATCCTATCAACATCTTTCCATATCCATGAACGTTGTAAGCCAGCTACTTCATCCCTTTATCTCCTCCGCCCACCCATTTGGGGTATCCAGTTTCTAAAACACCCCCCTTCATTTGGGGTATCCGTTTCTAACAATTCAGCGCTCTGAGGAGACCAGCACGTTCTTTGATGTGAACAATGCTCATTCCAATTGGAATCCTGTGTGTCTGCATGCATGAGAACAGGTCCAATCCATCAAGTCTCTCCACCGAGTCAGCAAGCAATATGCATCAGCTCACAGGGTTAATCACTTTCCTCTTCATCCGGTCCAGTTCTGGTCATCTCAGTCCTACCCATCCCAAGCTCGGTCAATGGGTGCTATAGCAAGCTAAGGGGCTCCCCACACAACTCCACCACCACCACCACCACCACCACCACCACCACCACCACCACCACCAACTTCAGACCTGATCCTTTCATGCATTCTCAACAAACTGAGCCCCTGTGGGCTAGGTCAGGTCATCGTTGTAAGATTCCTTACAACTCTTTAAATTCCAATGCAGTCAGCCCATTTGCCTATCTCCTCTCGCCCTTGGGAACCAGGCCCACAAATATCAGTGGCCAGCCTCAACCCATCTCTCCATTGCTGTGTTTCCCCTGGTTCCATTCAAGAGAATGAATCCAGGTAGTCACCTAGCATTTCAGGCTGCCCACCTTTTGTGTATGTACCTTAAGAGCCAGGACTGAGCCATGTGTACGCATACGTGTATGTCTAGAGAACACAAGAAGGATATAGAAAATGGAGTGTTCCCCGTGACATTCTATCCATCACTACCTTAATCTCCCGATGCAGTCCGCCAATTATTTGTCCAGAACCTGTCACTGGGTATCTTCTGGGTTTCTATTCTGATTCCCTTTCATCTCCCTTCAGTCCTTTACTATATTTTCAAGTCCTAGAGGGTGAGCACCTTGGTCTTCCTAACCTGTCTGAGACGTTAGGAAGGTAGCCCTGGAGACCACATCCCCCTTATGGCCCAGCACAGAGTTGGGAAAAAGAAAGGGAGGCCAGGCAATGGCTTGACGCTGAGATCCTGACAGGTGTCTCGATGGCCAATGGTGAGCGATGGAGGATTCTGCGCCGCTTCTCCCTGGCTGTCCTGCAGGACTTTGGGATGGGAAAGCGAAGCATTGAGGAGCGGATCCAGGAAGAGGCTGGATACCTAATGGAGACATTACGGAAGACCAATGGTATGGCGACTGAGCTCAGCCCGGAAAAGACAGGCCGTGGTGGGAGGAAGCACTCAAGGGGAGTGGATTGTTAAAATATGCGTTTAGAATTCACAGATTTTTTTCCCCCCAGGTAGGTTCAATGTTAAACATGAACAGGAAAGACTCTTCTCAAGGGCATCTCCATCTCAGGGGATCTTAGAGAGTCTGTGAGCCCCTGGTATTAGATACATATTTGGGGGGATATCTGAGCCCTTTTACTAGACACATAAAAATTGATTTTCTATTAAACGGAGTCCAATCCTCATCCAAAAGTAAGGACAGAAGCCACTGAGTTTTAGAGAAAAGACAGAGACTGGGAAGTACCAAGAAAAAGTAAAAGTTAAGTAAAAAGGAGAATTTTTCTCCAAAAACAAAGAACAGGGACTCTGGATACTTTGAAAAATCTATGAAAAGGGTTTAAATGTCCTTAGAGCTCCATGTATCTTTTTCAAACTTGTATACACTAGTATGTACATTTTTTACTGGGAAAGGTATCCCCAAATCCATGGACAGGGCACCAACATTCTATTGTACAGAAGGTAGCCTGAAGTTTAAGGATAATATTCTCAATAACCCAAAAGAAATCAAGAGCAGCGCTAGAACAAGCGTCCAGCCAATCTTTTTCGGTATATTATGTATCCTACATGTACTTCTTTCCCAAGTTTATGACAAGCAAATAAAGGAAAAGTCAAAACAAGGCCCTATATCATTTGCAAGTCCATAAAGCATGTCAGGTGATGCTCTGACAAGTTAAAATGCATCACTCTACCGAATCGTGGAAGATCAGTGAAGTGTTTATTCAACCAATGTGCGAATTTATAAATCAAGTCTAAAACCACACATCATGAAGTGACGCACACGCACTATTAAGCCAGTCTTCAAGGCAGGACGGAGTGAGTCCACGTCTCGTGGTCTTAATAATTCTCTGCAAAGTCCACAATTCTCACCATCAGGTGCACCCACCAACATCACCTTCTTCATTAGAGGCACGGTCTCCAACGTCATCTGCTCGATCCTTTTCGGAAGCCGCTTCGACTACAAGGACAAGCAGTTCCTGAGACTCCTGGAGCTGACAAGAGAGATTTTCATTGAGATCAGCACACCCTGGACACAGGTGCCCACCACCCTTAGTCTGCCTACCTTACCCCCAATCTCAGCTACCTAAACGCCTGCCGACACCTGGTTTAATTATCTCCACAACCCAGGAACAAATGTCTCAATCTGCCCAAGACTCCAATATGCCCATGTCTCACACCTCGCTCTAGATTCTAGCCTAGCCTTGGAGTTCGAACTCAATTCAAGCGGGCCCTACAAATGAACATTTTGTCTGCTCTATTTTCCATAGCTATTTGATATGTATTATGATATCATGCAATATTTTCCTGGAAGACATAATAGAAACTACTATATGATAGAGGAGATCAAGGACTTCATGGCCTCTAGGGTGAAACTCAAGGAATCATGCCTGGACCCCTCACATCCTCAGGATTTCATCGACTGTTTCCTCATCAAGAAGCAACAGGTACCTACCTGTCCCCTCCTGCCAGGCTTTCCTCGATCCCTGGGTCTTGCCACAATAAAACCACACATCAACAAATTGGGGACAAGCAAGCAAGTCATTTCTCACACGATTTACTACTATTTAGAAATCAAGATACAAACCATCAAAGTCTTAACCGTGACCTTTTTAAAAGAAGTTATGGAATTTTTAAGTCTTGCACTTCTGTTTACTATTTGTCTCACATTTAGGATGAAAATAACCCCAACACCGAATTCAACCACAAGAATTTGATTGCCATCATTTTCGACCTCTTCTTTGCTGGCACGGAAACAGTAAGCTTCACTCTCCTGTATGGAATCCTGCTGCTCCTGAAGTATCCAGAAGTAGAAGGTACACATCCTCCTTCGCGTGTTGCCCTGGTGCCCCTGATCCCAACAGGAGGAAGAGAGAGTCTTCAAACCTTAGACCCCTCCAACGATAGACCCTCTCACTATCATGGGTGCAAAAATCTTGGAATCTCTGCCTCAGGGGCTCATTTAACTAAACCCTCTACTCAATGCCTGTATTGGTTTCCAATTGACCCTATAGCACACTACTGAAAACTTAGTTCTGTCAAACAGTACAGAATGTATTACAATATAGTCCTGGAAGTCAGACTGCTAAAAGGGCTCTCATTGAGCTAGAAGCTGTAGGGTAGAATCTGATTCTTTGCCTGCTCCAGCTGCTAGAGTTGCAATCCTGACGTCCTGGGCACATGGTCCATTCCCTCATCTCCAAAGCCAGCAGCTACCATCTCCCGATCTTATTCCATTTTTATTCTCTAACTCTAACCTTCTATCCTCCTTATAAGGACATTGGTGATTTCATTATGGACCACTTGGATAATCTAGGATAGCCTTCCGATCTGAAGACCCTCAGTTTTATTGCATCTGTTAAAAATAACTTGTGATCTAAGTAAGGTTTACAGGTTCCAGAGACTAGGGGGTAGATATTTCTGGCGGCCCTTATTCTGCTTACCACAGTGCCAGAACTAAGTGTAATCTCAATCTAAACTCTGAAGCATTTACCTCTCATAATCACCTCCCAAAAGGAATATCTGGCCAGTTCGAGGGGCTACCAAGGTGAGGGCTTCATGTTCATGTTCAAGAAATACCCCTGAAATTTAGCCCCTTTCATTGCTAATAAAGTTTAAAAGGCTTTTTTTTTTCTTCAAATAATGGAAGACTAATTTGATTTTACTCACAGTTTTATAGCCTCACCACCCTTGTCCTAATTTGTCTTTTGCCTTAATGAGCAATAAACGATTTATTCCACACGTTCCATACTCGTCCTCTAGTTGCTCACCTAACAGAAAACCAAAGATTAGCTACCTAATCTGTAAGCAGTAGAGGTCTATTTCTCACCCTTCCGGATTCTGGAAGTCTAATTCAGGGTGCCAACAGTGTCTTGCTCTCATAGAAGGCTCAAGGGCAGGTTTTTTGTTTTGTTTTGTTTTGTTTTCCAAAAAGTGGGTGAGACTGCCCCTTGGGGTTCTCTAGGACGATCAGGGGTGGAGAATTGCAAAAGCAGACACCTACAGTTTATCCTGGATGATAAACAGAGTTTTTCACGGCCAAGTGCTGAGTGATCTTTCCTTCTGAACAGGAGGCCGTGGTCCACATAAGTGTGGAGGCCTCTTCTCTAAGGGAAGACCTTTCCTTGTTTCTTGAAGTTTCTGGTAACAACGGGAATTCATTGGTTTTAAGCATCTCTTTCCAATTTCTGACGTCATCATCACCTAACCATCTTCCTTCTGTGCTTCTGCGTGTCTGATCTCCTGTTCCTGTAAGGACACCAGCCAGCCTGCATTACAGCCCACCCTGTCCCAGTATGACAACGTGCTAACCTGACTACTCACATCTGCAAAGACCTGATTGCCAATGAGGTCATATTCACAGCTACCAGGCAGGGGGACTTCTACACCTCTTTTTGTGGTTTTTTTTTTAACATTTTATTAGGGGCTCATACAACTGTTATCGTAATCCATACACACGTCAATTGTGTAAAGCGCATTTGTACATCGTTCTCAAAACATTTTCTCTCCACTTAAACCCCCGACATTAGGTCCTCATTTTTCCCCTTCCTCCCCGCACCCTCCTCCCGCATGAGCCCTTGATAGTTTATAAATTGGTATTTTGTCGTATCTTGCCCTGTCCGACGTCTCCCTTCACCCACTTTTTGGCTGTCTGTCCCCCAGGGAGGAGGTCACATATAGTTCCTTGTAACCGGTTCCCTCTTTCCTACCCACTCTCCCTCTACCCTCCCTGTTTCACCACTCACACCACTGGTCCTGCAGGGCTCATCTGCCCTGGATTCCCTGGATTTCCAGTTCCTCTCTGTACCAGTGTACATCCTCTGGTCTAGCCAGACTTGCAAGGTCGAATTCGAGTCACGGTAGTGGAAGTGGGGAGGAAACATTTAGGAACTAGAGAAAAGTTGTATTTCTCATCGTTGTTACATCGCACCCTGACTGGCTCATCTCCTCCCCAAGACTCCTCTGCAAGGGGATCTCCAGTGGCCTACTCATGGGCTTTGGACCTCTTTTTAAAGGACACAATTGAACCCAAAACACCTCTCCTGTGCAGGCACAAGCATAGTTACTTGCACATTGAATGTGATGTAACACTTTAATACTAATGATCTTAGTCTAAGCAACATACCAGCTTTCAGGATGAAGCACAAAGAATCGTAGTTCACTTGATTTCCCCGAGGCATTACTTGGGAAAGTTACACACAGGCAAATCCACCGAAGATGCTTTTCTTAGGATCCCATTTGCTTCCGTGCTTCCTCCCTGTCTTGGTTGCCTCTCTGTCTTTTCTGCAAAAAAATGCTTATGAAAACCCAGCTCAGATGACGTTGCTGTCCAGCTCCTGTCCAGCTCATCAGACTTCCATGCTTACCGAGTGCTTTCAAGATTTAAACTGAGCACCCAAACCCGTCTTCCTCCCGAGGGTCTGATGAACAGTCATTGTGCCCTACCTATGTGCCGCATGTTAAGGAAGAAAGAGGTCCTCTTAAATCATGGCGAGAGCTCTCAAAAGCCACTCACTGTCTGCTGGAGACAGGACCCTCCCTAGCGTCTATATTCAGCCTCATAAGTACAGAGAAAACCCAAACACCTCCTCCCATTTCTCTGTGCCCTCCCGGCCTATGTTTCCGACTTGTTCCAGCCAGGGTCCATGAAGAGATTAACCAGGTGATTGGGACTCACCGGACACCCAGTGTTAAAGACAGGGTCAAGATGCCCTACACAAATGCCGTGATCCACGAGATACAGAGAATAATCATTTTTTCATCGTTGGGTGTCCCCCACAAAGTCATCCGGGAAACTCATTTCAGAGGCTTCCTTCTGCCCAAGGTGGGTTTGCACTACACCCCCCCGCCCCCCGCCCCCCAATTGCTCTGTCTTCTCTAAGTACTGCTCTTCCTCTCTGTATCCCTACCTTCCTCCACTACATGGAATAGTCCCTAACTGTCCCTTCTCCAATTCAGGGCACCAAAGTGCTTCCTTTATATTCTATGGCACACCGAGACCCCAAGAACTTTCGCTTCCCAGATACCTTCTACCCACAACACTTCCTGGATGAGCAGGGCGGTTTCAAGAAGAATGAAGCCCTTGTCCCTTTTGGTGCTGGTAGGTTGCGTTGATCTGGCCTCTCCCAAGAACATCCCTGAACCCTTGGTCCATCTAGCAATTTGACCATAAGACAAGTCTTGCCAAGGAATGAGTTCTTGAAATAGGCATACTGATGCACAGATCTCCTAAGTATGCACTACTGTGACCCCTGATGTGGTCTGGGGGCATCTGAGGATATGAGAGGTCATCTGACCCCCAACACCTGCCCCCACCCCTTTCTGTACCATTATCCTGTGCAAGCTGGAGCCAACCGATTATCTTCCCTTGTGCTCACAGGAAAGAGAGCCTGTCTGGGCGAGGCCTTGGCCCAAATGGAACTCTTTCTGTACTTCACCTCCATCCTTCAGAGCTTCTCCCTGCGTGCTCTAGTGCCACCAGCCGACATCGACATCACCCCGGAAGTCTTCAGACATGACAAAAATCCCACTACCTATGAGGTCTGCCTTGTGGCCCGCTGAGGGCTCCCTGTTGGGCACAGTGAACAGAGGTGGAAAGCAATGTCTGCCTGATGGTACCTGTTTCAATAAAGTTCCAGCATGTCCATCAAAGACCATCATCATGACTGCTGTGGAGCAGAGTTCAAACACGATCACCTTGGAGATACAGAGCAGGCTAGCTTGTGAATTTAGCAGAACATCATGATCCAATTCAGCATTTCTGCCAAATTGTATTTATCTCTCATAATCATCTCCTGCTAAGCTTCTGCCTACATCATATTCTTCTTCTCTATTTTTTTTTTTTTTTTTGGTTTGCATGGTCCTGTTGTCTCTTCTTCTCGTTAAGTGCCATCAAGTTGGTTTTGACACAATAGTGGCCCTTTGCACAGAGGGAGCGAACACAGCCTAGCTGTTGTGATGTCGGACGCCATCATTTCAGCCACGACGTCAATCCCTCTTGTCAAGGGTCTTCCTTTTGGTCACTGCCTCTCTGCTTTGCCAAACTTTGTCTGCTTCTCTCGAACCTGATCTCTCCTGATAATGCCCGAAGTATAGGAGACAAAGGCTTGCTTCTAAGACGAAGGCATTCTTGCTTCTAAGGAGCATTCTGGCTGTACTTTTAATAAGCTCTTAGCAGTGCATGATACTTTAATGCTTTTCATCAACACCGTAATTCAAATGCATCAATTCTTCTTTAGCCTTCTTTATTCAATGTTCAACTTTCATGTGCGTATGAGTCCATTGAAAATACCATCCATGTGTTGAGAATGAGGAGGGTCAGAGCAGAGACCCAAAACCCATCTGTAGACAATGGGACATCCCCTCACAGAAGGGCCACAAGGAAGGGATGAGTCGATCAGGGCGAAATATAGCACCGATGAAGCACAGAATAGTCCTCTGTTTCCTTGAGGATTCATCACACACACCCCCAACCCAACCCACTATCATGACCCCAGTCCTGCCTTTCACTGCAGGCTAGACCAGAGCATGTACACAGGTACAGATAAGAGATAAGAGCTCATGATACACTGAATCCAGGAACAGTAATGGGAGTAGCGATACCAAGAGGATAGGGGGAAGGTGGGGAGAGGAGGGGAGGAAGGGGGAGCCAATCGCTATGATTGACACGTAACAATACCCCACACCCCAGGGGGATGAACAACAGAAACCGTGAAGGAAGAGAGACAGCGGTTGGTATAAGATATGAAAATAATAATAATTTATGATTTATCAAGGGGTCATGAAGGTGGGAGGGAGGAGGGAAGGGAAAAAAGAGGAATTAATGTGAAGGGCTCAAATAGAAAGTAAATATTTAGAAAATAATGATGGCAACATATGGTACAAATATGCTTGATACAATTGATGTGTGGATTGTTATAAGAGCTGAGGGAGCACCCCTATATAATGATCTTTTGGTACACTGGTACAGATAGGAACCAGAAATACAGGGAATCCAGGACAGATGGACCCTTCCGGACCAGTGATGAGAGTGGGGATACCGGGAGGGTGGAGAGAAGCTGGGTAGAAAGGGGGAACTGATCACAAGGATCTGCATATAACCCCCTCCCTGGGCGATGGACAACAGAAAAGTGGGTGAAGGGAGACGTCGGACGGTGTAAGATATGACAAAATAGTAATTTTTAAATTATCAAGGATTCGGGAGGGGGGTGGAATGAGGAGCTGATACCAAGGGCTCAAGTAGAAAGCAAATGTTTTGAGAATGATGATGGCAACAAATGTACAAATATGCTTGACACAATGGATGGATTGATGGATGGATGGATGGGTGGATGGATGGATGGATGGATGGATGGATGGATGGATGGATGGATTGGGATAAGAGTTGTACAAGTCCCCAATAAAACCAATAAAATGATTTTTTAAAAATTTTAAGGTGGGCATCAGGATTGTATCCTTTTATCATATTTATTCAATTTGTATGCTGATTAAATAATCTGAAAATCTGGATTGGATCAAGAACTCGGCACCAGGATTGGAGAAGGGTTGACTACCTTCGGGAGGCAGATGACATAATGTTGCTTGCTGGAAGTGAGGAGAGCTTCAAACACATTCTAATGAAAACAAAAGACTACAGTGAACCCTCGCCACTTCGCGCTTCGACTTCCACGGCTTCACTCTATCCCGTTTTTTGCGTAACAGCGCATGCTCTGTCATTACTGCCACTGATTGGCTCATACTGTACACGCTTGATGCCATAAATAATATAATAAATAATAAATGATAATTGTAACGTCCAAAATGTTTTACTGTATTTTCCCTTTTTCGTTTAATAAATTGGGTAATACGAGTGTAATGGTGACTAAAGGGTGTTTTTTCATGTCCTCTATGCTCTAACTACGAAAATATTTGATTTACAAATAAGGAATCCTACTTCGCGGGATTTCATTTATCACGGTAGGGTCTAGAACCGATTAACCGCGATAAATGAGGGTTCACTCTACAGACAACCTTCAGTATGCATTACAACTCAGTGTACAGAAAACCCAAGTCCTCACCACTGGACCAATAAGCAACATCGTGATTAACAGAGCGAGCGCTGAAGTTGTGAAAGATGACATTTTACTTGGATCCGCAATCAACGTTCATGGAAGTAGCAGTCAAGAAATGTAACAACGTATCGCACTGGGAAACTCTGCTGCACGGTACCTTTTTGAAGCATGAGAAAGCAAAGATGCTACTTTGAGAACTAAGGTGTGTCTGATCTAAGTCATGGTGTTTTCCATGACGGCATATGCATGTGGAAATTGGACAATGAATAAGAAAGACTGCAGGGGAAATAATGCACTTGAATTAGAGTATTGGTGAAGAATATTGAAAGTACCATGGACTACCAGAACAAACTAACTGATCTCGGAATAAGTACAGCCAGGATGCTCCTTCGATAGAAAAACTTCATTTCACATTCTTTGGGCATGTTACAAGGAGAGACCAGCTCCTGGAAAAGGTAATATAGAGCAGCGGGTCTCAACCTGTGAACTGTCCGACCCTCAAAGGGGGACCCTTTCACAGGGGTCACCCAATTCATAACAGTAGCAAAATGACAGTGATGACGTAGCATTGAATTTTATAGTTGGGAGGCTCACCACAATATGAGGAACTGTATTAAAGGGTCGCAGCATTAAGAAGGTTGAGAACCACTGCTTTAGAGGGTCGGCAAAAAAGAGAAAGACCCTCAACAAGATACACTGACACCATCTTATACCCATTCATTTATTCACCAGATATTTACAGCACATTCATTCTGTTCCAAACACCAGGGGTTGGCAGAAAATATGGTATGATCTATTAAGGGGGTCATGAGGTTAAAAAAAATCCCATTAAGAAATAAAGAGACCATATGATTTCAAATAGTCATGATCACTAGAGAATGAATCAAAGAAAGTAATAGAATCAAGAAGAACTTGCAGTGAAAGAAGAGGACAACCAAGAATGTTGTCCTTGTGTAGAGTTGAGTCAACGACAGCTCACAGCCACCCTCAGAATGAAACACTGCCCAGTCCCAGGCCAACCTCACACCAGTCTGAGCCCCTGGGTCAGTCTCTCTTGTCAAAGGGCTTCCTCTTTTTTGCCCATCCTCTGCTTTGCCAAGTCCTCTGCCAGGAGCTGCTCTCTCCTGACAACATGTCCAAAGAACATGAGATGAACTCTGGCCATCTTTGCTTCCAAGGATCATGATGGCTGTACTTCTTCCCAGACATCTGTTTGTTCTTTTGGCAGACCATGCTATATTCCGTATTCTTCAGCGACCTCATAATTCAGATGCATCAATTCTTCTTCAGCCTTCTTTATTGATTATCTAGCTTTTGCATGGCTATGATGCAATTTAAAATACCTAAGAGGATTGGCCAGGAAAGAGCTCTCTGCAGAAACTAAATTTCAAATATGTCTTAAGTATTATGAAATAGCCTATCTCGAGATGTCGGGGGAGAACTTTTTAGGTTACAGGGACAGTTACTATAACATTAGGAGCCCTGGTGGCATAGTGGACTATGCGTTGGGCTACTAACCAGAAGGTCAGCAGTTCAAAATCAAGAGCTTCCCTATGAGAGAAAGATGATGCTTTCTACTCCCGTAAAGATTCGGTGCTGAAACAACGATAGAGTTCTCCTCTGCCCTATAGGGGGTCTATGAGTCAGACTCACTTTCACGGCAGTGAGTTGTAGAATGCAAAAGTATATTTATGTTTATGAATTCATGTGTATTTGAAGTATCTAAAAGAAAGTTTGTCTAGATAGGAGGTCTTGCCTCTATGTGAGGGAATTCTATGTGAGGGAATTTGCTGGATGACACACCATGCCATCTTGCTCTTATTGAACATGTATCTCTGGGTTGAGTGAGGGCTGGCTTTTCTAGACTGGACTTGGCTGGGTGGTCCCATTGCAAGCCTCTCATCTTCCTCTTGTTTCGTGGGTCAGCTTAGGCCTGTTCTTCTCATGGTGATAACAGAGGAGCCAAACCGAAAACTCAATTGCATAAGTGGTTTGGTTACACCCGGTCTATTATACAAAGCAGGTCACAGGACAATGCCACAAATCCAGGTGTGATGATGTATACTCTGCTCAGAAAGCTTGTGGGGAGGAAGGAGTTTGTATTGCTGAACAATAATTTAATCTACCATAGGTATATTTTTGGAAAAACTTTTTTTCTTTATCTTGCTCTGTGATGTCCAAATGATTTTAATCACAAGTGATTATAATCTTAACATCCGACAAAATAATAAATTTAGATTTATAAGGACAAAAAGAGAACAGGGCTACCCAGATACTGGGTCTACTGCCTTCCAATTTTACAATGGTTAATTTTGGGGTTAAACCTATATACTCGTGTTTTTAAGTCTTCAGAGAAAATTACTCCAAAGTGGGCAGCTTAGAAGAACAGAAATTTGTTCTCTCATAGTTATGGGGACTAAAGTCCAAAATAAAATTATTAGCAGACCAGGCCTTGAGGAAGATGATCCCAATTAGAGCAGCCAGTCCACAGAGAGGACCACATGGCCTGCCCCACTATGAGACATGATGCCCCTCACTGAACTATAGCCCTACAGGGGACAATACCAGAGACACAGTGTGGGAATTGCACCCTATCTGATC